TTAGCCTGCCAAATTTATTTTCTTTTTCATATAATTTTTCATAATTGAAAATAAGTTTTATAAGAAAATAAAAGTTATTAGGTTTTAGCCTGCCAAATTTATTTTCTTTTTCATATAATTTTTCATAATTGAAAATAAGTTTTATAAGAAAATAAAAGTTATTAGGTTTTAGCCTGCCAAATTTATTTTCTTTTTCATATAATTTTTCATAAGTGAAAATAAGTTTTATAAGAAAATAAAAGTTATTAGGTTTTAGCCTGCCAAATTTATTTTCTTTTTCATATAATTTTTCATAATTGAAAATAAGTTTTATAAGAAAATAAAAGTTATTAGGTTTTAGCCTGCCAAATTTATTTTCTTTTTCATATAATTTTTCATAATTGAAAATAAGTTTTATAAGAAAATAAAAGTTATTAGGTTTTAGCCTGCCAAATTTATTTTCTTTTTCATATAATTTTTCATAATTGAAAATAAGTTTTATAAGAAAATAAAAGTTATTAGGTTTTAGCCTGCCAAATTTATTTTCTTTTTCATATAATTTTTCATAATTGAAAATAAGTTTTATAAGAAAATAAAAGTTATTAGGTTTTAGCCTGCCAAATTTATTTTCTTTTTCATATAATTTTTCATAATTGAAAATAAGTTTTATAAGAAAATAAAAGTTATTAGGTTTTAGCCTGCCAAATTTATTTTCTTTTTCATATAATTTTTCATAATTGAAAATAAGTTTTATAAGAAAATAAAAGTTATTAGGTTTTAGCCTGCCAAATTTATTTTCTTTTTCATATAATTTTTCATAATTGAAAATAAGTTTTATAAGAAAATAAAAGTTATTAGGTTTTAGCCTGCCAAATTTATTTTCTTTTTCATATAATCTTTTATAATTGAAAATAAGTTTTATAAGAAAATAAAAGTTATTAGGTTTTAGCCTGCCAAATTTATTTTCTTTTTCATATAATCTTTTATAATTGAAAATAAGTTTTATAAGAAAATAAAAGTTATTAGGTTTTAGCCTGACAAATTTATTTTCTTTTTCATATAATTTTTTATAATTGAAAATAAGTTTTATAAGAAAATAAAAGTTATTAGGTTTTAGCCTGCCAAATTTATTTTCTTTTTCATATAATTTTTTATAATTGAAAATAAGTTTTATAAGAAAATAAAAGTTATTAGGTTTTAGCCTGCCAAATTTATTTTCTTTTTCATATAATTTTTCATAATTGAAAATAAGTTTTATAAGAAAATAAAAGTTATTAGGTTTTAGCCTGCCAAATTTATTTTCTTTTTCATATAATTTTTCATAATTGAAAATAAGTTTTATAAGAAAATAAAAGTTATTAGGTTTTAGCCTGCCAAATTTATTTTCTTTTTCATATAATCTTTTATAATTGAAAATAAGTTTTATAAGAAAATAAAAGTTATTAGGTTTTAGCCTGCCAAATTTATTTTCTTTTTCATATAATCTTTTATAATTGAAAATAAGTTTTATAAGAAAATAAAAGTTATTAGGTTTTAGCCTGCCAAATTTATTTTCTTTTTCATATAATCTTTTATAATTGAAAATAAGTTTTATAAGAAAATAAAAGTTATTAGGTTTTAGCCTGCCAAATTTATTTTCTTTTTCATATAATTTTTTATAATTGAAAATAAGTTTTATAAGAAAATAAAAGTTATTAGGTTTTAGCCTGCCAAATTTATTTTCTTTTCATATAATTTTTTATAATTGAAAATAAGTTTTATAAGAAAATAAAAGTTATTAGGTTTTAGCCTGCCAAATTTATTTTCTTTTTCATATAATTTTTCATAATTGAAAATAAGTTTTATAAGAAAATAAAAGTTATTAGGTTTTAGCCTGCCAAATTTATTTTCTTTTTCATATAATTTTTCATAATTGAAAATAAGTTTTATAAGAAAATAAAAGTTATTAGGTTTTAGCCTGCCAAATTTATTTTCTTTTTCATATAATTTTTTATAATTGAAAATAAGTTTTATAAGAAAATAAAAGTTATTAGGTTTTAGCCTGCCAAATTTATTTTCTTTTTCATATAATTTTTTATAATTGAAAATAAGTTTTATAAGAAAATAAAAGTTATTAGGTTTTAGCCTGCCAAATTTATTTTCTTTTCATATAATTTTTTATAATTGAAAATAAGTTTTATAAGAAAATAAAAGTTATTAGATTTTAGCCTGCCAAATTTATTTTCTTTTTCATATAATTTTTTATAATTGAAAATAAGTTTTATAAGAAAATAAAAGTTATTAGGTTTTAGCCTGCCAAATTTATTTTCTTTTTCATATAATCTTTTATAATTGAAAATAAGTTTTATAAGAAAATAAAAGTTATTAGGTTTTAGCCTGCCAAATTTATTTTCTTTTTCATATAATTTTTTATAATTGAAAATAAGTTTTATAAGAAAATAAAAGTTATTAGGTTTTAGCCTGCCAAATTTATTTTCTTTTTCATATAATTTTTCATAATTGAAAATAAGTTTTATAAGAAAATAAAAGTTATTAGGTTTTAGCCTGCCAAATTTATTTTCTTTTTCATATAATTTTTCATAATTGAAAATAAGTTTTATAAGAAAATAAAAGTTATTAGGTTTTAGCCTGCCAAATTTATTTTCTTTTTCATATAATTTTTCATAATTGAAAATAAGTTTTATAAGAAAATAAAAGTTATTAGGTTTTAGCCTGCCAAATTTATTTTCTTTTTCATATAATTTTTCATAATTGAAAATAAGTTTTATAAGAAAATAAAAGTTATTAGGTTTTAGCCTGCCAAATTTATTTTCTTTTTCATATAATTTTTTATAATTGAAAATAAGTTTTATAAGAAAATAAAAGTTATTAGGTTTTAGCCTGCCAAATTTATTTTCTTTTTCATATAATCTTTTATAATTGAAAATAAGTTTTATAAGAAAATAAAAGTTATTAGGTTTTAGCCTGCCAAATTTATTTTCTTTTTCATATAATTTTTTATAATTGAAAATAAGTTTTATAAGAAAATAAAAGTTATTAGGTTTTAGCCTGCCAAATTTATTTTCTTTTCATATAATTTTTTATAATTGAAAATAAGTTTTATAAGAAAATAAAAGTTATTAGGTTTTAGCCTGCCAAATTTATTTTCTTTTTCATATAATTTTTCATAATTGAAAATAAGTTTTATAAGAAAATAAAAGTTATTAGGTTTTAGCCTGCCAAATTTATTTTCTTTTTCATATAATTTTTCATAATTGAAAATAAGTTTTATAAGAAAATAAAAGTTATTAGGTTTTAGCCTGCCAAATTTATTTTCTTTTTCATATAATTTTTTATAATTGAAAATAAGTTTTATAAGAAAATAAAAGTTATTAGGTTTTAGCCTGCCAAATTTATTTTCTTTTTCATATAATTTTTTATAATTGAAAATAAGTTTTATAAGAAAATAAAAGTTATTAGTTTTAGCCTGCCAAATTTATTTTCTTTTCATATAATTTTTTATAATTGAAAATAAGTTTTATAAGAAAATAAAAGTTATTAGGTTTTAGCCTGCCAAATTTATTTTCTTTTTCATATAATCTTTTATAATTGAAAATAAGTGATCATCACTAAAAAATGTGATGAAAACTTTAAATATTCTGAGAAATCTAAAATTGATTTCTATTCGGTTGGTTTATTTTAATAAAATATTTCTAAAAAATGTGATGAAAACTTTAAATATTCTGAGAAATCTAAAATTGATTTCTATTCGGTTGGGTTATTTTAATAAAATATTTCTAAAAAGCGTGATGAAAACTTTAAATATTCTGAGAAATCTAAAATTGATTTCTATTCGGTTGGTTTATTTTAATAAAATATTTCTAAAAAATGTGATGAAAACTGAGAAATCTAAAATTGATTTCTATTCGGTTGGTTTATTTTAATAAAATATTTCTAAAAAATGTGATGAAAACTTTAAATATTCTGAGAAATCTAAAATTGATTTCTATTCGGTTGGGTTATTTTAATAAAATATTTCTAAAAAATGTGATGAAAACTTTAAATATTTTGAGAAATCTAAAATTGATTTCTATTCGGTTGGGTTATTTTAATAAAATATTTCTAAAAAATGTGATGAAAACTTTAAATATTTTGAGAAATCTAAAATTGATTTCTATTCGGTTGTGTTATTTTAATAAAATATTTCTAAAAAGCGTGATGAAAACTTTAAATATTTTGAGAAATCTAAAATTGATTTCTATTCGGTTGGGTTATTTTAATAAAATATTTCTAAAAAATGTGATGAAAACTTTAAATATTTTGAGAAATCTAAAATTGATTTCTATTCGGTTGGGTTATTTTAATAAAATATTTCTAAAAAATGTGATGAAAACTTTAAATATTTTGAGAAATCTAAAATTGATTTCTATTCGGTTGGGTTATTTTAATAAAATATTTCTAAAAAATGTGATGAAAACTTTAAATATTTTGAGAAATCTAAAATTGATTTCTATTCGGTTGTGTTATTTTAATAAAATATTTCTAAAAAGCGTGATGAAAACTTTAAATATTTTGAGAAATCTAAAATTGATTTCTATTCGGTTGGGTTATTTTAATAAAATATTTCTAAAAAATGTGATGAAAACTTTAAATATTTTGAGAAATCTAAAATTGATTTCTATTCGGTTGGGTTATTTTAATAAAATATTTCTAAAAAATGTGATGAAAACTTTAAATATTTTGAGAAATCTAAAATTGATTTCTATTCGGTTGGGTTATTTTAATAAAATATTTTAAAAAATGTGATGAAAACTTTAAATATTTTGAGAAATCTAAAATTGATTTCTATTCGGTTGGGTTATTTTAATAAAATATTTCTAAAAAGCGTGATGAAAACTTTAAATATTCTGAGAAATCTAAAATTGATTTCTATTCGGTTGGTTTATTTTAATAAAATATTTCTAAAAAATGTGATGAAAACTTTAAATATTCTGAGAAATCTAAAATTGATTTCTATTCGGTTGGGTTATTTTAATTAAATATTTCTAAAAAGCGTGATGAAAACTTTAAATATTCTGAGAAATCTAAAATTGATTTCTATTCGGTTGGGTTATTTTAATAAAATATTTCTAAAAAATGTGATGAAAACTTTAAATATTTTGAGAAATCTAAAATTGATTTCTATTCGGTTGGGTTATTTTAATAAAATATTTCTAAAAAATGTGATGAAAACTTTAAATATTTTGAGAAATCTAAAATTGATTTCTATTCGGTTGGGTTATTTTAATAAAATATTTTAAAAAATGTGATGAAAACTTTAAATATTTTGAGAAATCTAAAATTGATTTCTATTCGGTTGGGTTATTTTAATAAAATATTTCTAAAAAGCGTGATGAAAACTTTAAATATTCTGAGAAATCTAAAATTGATTTCTATTCGGTTGGTTTATTTTAATAAAATATTTCTAAAAAATGTGATGAAAACTTTAAATATTCTGAGAAATCTAAAATTGATTTCTATTCGGTTGGGTTATTTTAATTAAATATTTCTAAAAAGCGTGATGAAAACTTTAAATATTCTGAGAAATCTAAAATTGATTTCTATTCGGTTGGGTTATTTCTTGATTTCTATTGATGTGATGAAAACTATATTTTTCGGTAATACCGCGGTATTTTTACCGAAATACCAATTCCGAATACGGTACCGAACAATTTTTAACAAATCGGTATTTTTTCGGTATCGGTATTTTACCGAAAATACCGATACCGAAAAATCGCGTTTGAACAACACTAGTAATGACAAATAAAATATACATTATTTTTTAGAAGGCCAGGTACTGCCCAAAACCTAAAATTGTATTTTATAAAACTTAAAAAGCATAATAGAAATAATGTCTATAGTCTATTCATAGATCAACTACTAAATTTTCTTCTGGCATATTCGCAATTTAGAACATATTCTGAATTATTAATTTTCTAGCACCTAATAAATTTTCATACACTAATAATCTATTCATAGATCAACGACTAAATTTTCTTCTGGCATATCGCAATTTAGAACATATTCTAAATTATTAATTTTATAGCACCTAATAAATGAAATTTAAATTTATTATATACTAGTAATTTAATATCTCCGAATAACTTTTAAATTTAATATTTGCGGTAATAAATTTTATCTTAAGACTTATGAATATTTCATAAGAAAGTAAAATTTATTATACATATGCTAGTAATTTAATATTTTCGAATAACTTTTAAATTTAATATTTGCGGTAATAAATTTTATCTTAAGACTTATGAATATTTCATAAGAAAGTAAAATTTATTATACATATACTAGTAATTTAATATTTTCGAATAACTTTTAAATTTAATATTTGCGGTAATAAATTTTATCTTAAGACTTATGAATATTTAATAAGAAAGTGAAAATTTATTATACATATACTCGTAATTTAATATTTCCGAATAGCTTTTAAATTTAATATTTGCGGTAATAAATTTTATTTTAAGACATATGAATATTTCATAAGAAAGCATACTTCTAAATTTTCTTCTATTCGCGATTTAGAACATATTCTGAATAATTAATTTTCTAGCACCTAATAAATTTTCATACACTAATAAGCTATTCATAGATCAACTACTAAATTTTCTTCTGGCATATTCGCAATTTAGAACATATTCTAAATTATTACTTTTCAAACACCTAATAAATTTTCAGACACTAATAATCTATTCCTAGATCAACTACTAAATTTTCTTCTGGCATATTCGCGATTTAGAACATATTCTGAATTATCAATTTTCTAGCACCTAATAAATTTTCAGACACTAATAATCTATTCCTAGATTCCTAGAATATATTTTAGAGTTCTAGATTCCTAGAAATATATTCCTAGAAAATAAATTCCTAGAATCTATTACTAAATTTTCTTCTGGCATATTCGCAATTTAGAACATATTCTAAAACTTTAATTTTCAAGCATCTAATAAATTTTCAGACACTAATAATCTATTCCTAGATCAACTACTAAATTTTCTTCTGGCATATTCGCGATTTAGAACATATTCTAAATTATTAATTTGCTAGCTCCTAATAAATTTTCAGACACTAATAATCTATGCATAGATCAACTACTAAATTTTCTTCTGGTGTTTCATACTATTTTTTAGTTTTCGAATCTGAAATCAAAATTTATGAAACCAATGTTTCATAATATTTCTTAATTTTCAAATCTGAAATCAAAATTTATGAAACCAATGTTTCATAATATTTTTTAATTTTCGAATCTGAAATCAAAATTTATGAAACCAATGTTTCATAATATTTTTTAATTTTCGAATCTGAAATCAAAATTTATGAAACCAATGTTTCATAATATTTTTTAATTTTCGAATCTGAAATCAAAATTTATGAAACCAATGTATCATAATATTTTTTAATTTTCAAATCTGAAATCAAAATTTATGAAACCAATGTTTCATAATATTTTTTAATTTTCAAATCTGAAATCAAAATTTATGAAACCAATGTTTCATAATATTTTTTAGTTTTCGAATCTGAAATCAAAATTTATGAAACCAATGTTTCATAATATTTCTTAATTTTCAAATCTGAAATCAAAATTTATGAAACCAATGTTTCATAATATTTTTTAATTTTCGAATCTGAAATCAAAATTTATGAAACCAATGTTTCATAATATTTTTTAATTTTCAAATCTGAAATCAAAATTTATGAAACCAATGTTTCATAATATTTTTTAATTTTCAAATCTGAAATCAAAATTTATGAAACCAATGTTTCATAATATTTTTTAATTTTCGAATCTGAAATCAAAATTTATGAAACCAATGTTTCATAATATTTTTTAATTTTCAAATCTGAAATCAAAATTTATGAAACCAATGTTTCATAATATTTTTTAATTTTCGAATCTGAAATCAAAATTTATGAAACCAATGTTTCATAATATTTTTTAATTTTCGAATCTGAAATCAAAATTTATGAAACCAATGTTTCATAATATTTTTTAATTTTCGAATCTGAAATCAAAATTTATGAAACCAATGTATAATAGTATTTTTTAATTTTCAAATCTGAAATCAAAATTTATGAAACCAATGTATCATAATATTTTTTAATTTTCAAATCTGAAATCAAAATTTATGAAACCAATGTTTAATAATATTTTTTAATTTTCGAATCTGAAATCAAAATTTATGAAACCAATGTTTCATAATATTTTTTAATTTTCGAATCTGAAATCAAAATTTATGAAACCAATGTTTTCTTTTGGACGTATATGTAATGAAATAGTTCGAAGTTGGTCAGCATTTGAGGCATATTTTCGATCTGAAAGCGAGTGTCCAAAATTTCTAAGGAAAATATTTTCTGACGAATCAACTCTTCCGTCATTGGAATACAAAACTATCTTCCAGTTTTTGTCTTTTATTCTTGGCATTTTTAATCGTTTCAATTTAATTAGCCAGGTTTCATCAAATAAATATTCGCTTATTTTCTATTTATTAAGACGCCTTCTCTTCCTTTTCCACAATTAATAAAATCTTTAAATGGATTAAAAACACATTTACAACTTTCTTTAGAAGAAAAGGACTTTTGGGAAGCTACTATGATTCTTATGGAAGAAATTGAGCAAGAAGGGGGTTCAGAAATTTTACAGAAATTGAAGGAATCATTTATGGTACCTTAGTTCTTTTTTAAATAAATTTATTGGAAATTAAGCAATTCTACGAAAATACGCTTGATTACTTGGAAAAGTGGACTGTTCATCTTGATGAAATAAACGAATTTGCCCCAGATTGGTTGATATTTGAAGAACCACCAACAGTACAAAAAATTAAATCAGCATATAGAAAATATTGTTCAAAGAAGTCACAAGATTTGGACGAACTTTTTATTGAAATTGGAAGTTTAAAATCTCAATTAGAACGGCTTAATCAAACTGCATTCAAGGAGATAAGTGTTGATGATAAATGGTCCACAATTTTCAAAGACCCCAGCTTTGTTCATCTCAAAAAAATTGTTTCAATTCTTCTTTCTATATTTTCTTCAAATGTTTATTGTGAATCAGTTTTTTCTGTAGTTAAGAATGTGAAAACTAACGAGAGAAACAGAATGAAAGCAAAATTACTTAATTCCCTTGTTTCTATTAAACTTAATTGTGATTTAAGTTGTATCCAGGCGTATGATCTCTTTATTTCTGATCCAGATTTGCTCAATTTAGTTAAAAATAGTGAAAAATATGCAGAATAAAGCTTTCTATTTAAAATATTAATTATTTTTAAGTTTTTAAAATAATGCCCTATTTTTTGCCCTATTTACTAACAATTTCGCCCTATTTTTGCCACATTTTTGAGTGGCTGCGCCCTATTTTAGTGTTTTGGAAAGGGACACCCTGGCCTTGCATCAAAATCGTAGTCGTTTAAACGTAGATTTTAAGAAGATGATAATATTTGAAATTTTTCAGTTGTTTAATATTTTTAAAGATAAATAAGAATGTAATGCTTTTACACAGAAATTCATAATGTTATACACCAAATCAATTTTATTTAATTTTTTGTTTAACATCGTTTTCGGAGGCAAAAAGTAAGTGTATGACTATAAAATTAATCTTCTCATTATCAATGTCTCGTTTGAATATGCCACAGGGCAAATAGAGGACGAAGAGAATCTGACCATTATGTACAATCTTAGGTAAGAAAAATAATGGGAGGGAGGGCCTTTGACAGTTAGTTGCTACAAGTAAAACATTTAAATAAAGGAAAAGGTCGCAGAAAAAGCCCTCCTATTTTCAGTAGTACCCTTTTAATTAATAAAAATTAATATTTAATTGGGTTAATTAACTTTTTAACAACTCCTTAATTACTCCTAATCCTTCGATATTAAACATTTAACTTTTACCATTCGAGTTAAATATGTCGGGTGAAAAAAGAAAAACCAATTATGTAGTACTACTAATTGGACAATTAGCCTCTTTACCCCCGACTTCGATGACAGCGGGTATTGCGCAATGGGTGCTAATTGACCAATTAGTCACCTCAGATATCAAAGGAAATCTCCCGAAAACCCCCTACACCCACAGGATTTTGTCGGTAAAATCAAAGAAAATTATGCGGAAACCCCCTACACCCTTTGGTTTCAGCGGACCCCTCCTGTTGTGTATGGGCGACAGCCCTTTTGTCATCCCTCATTTTTTGTATTTTGTTGTGAGTTGAGTGTTAGTGAGAGACTAGACGCACTGGCTTAGTGTTAATTGTATTGATAGCATGGA